TAGATCAAGGCATTCGTATCCTGCAGGCTTCGATCGATGTCATGGCCGAATTAGGTTACCTGCATGCTTGTCAAATGCTTATGTCCCTACTTCAATGCATCAAGTCAGCCAGGTGGCCTGAAGATATCCCACTGTCGATTCTACCCGGCGTTGGTGTCAGCGCCAAGGCACCCTTCCTCCCGGCTTCCCTCGCTGCACTCTCATCTCTACCTACCGCTGCTGTGTCAACTCTCTCCAAGAAGCTACAGCTTTCTCCTCCTCAGGCCACCCAATTCACCAAGGCTGCCTCCTATCTGCCGAATCTGTCGGTGTCAGTCTCCAAGGTCTCGTCAACTGGTATTAGTGTATCCTTGACTAGGCGCAACCCCGCAATGGACGCGGGACACAGAATCTACGCACCTCGATTCCCGAAGCCACAAACCGAGGGCTTCTTCTTGATCGTCTGCAGCGCAGCCTCAGACGGTAAAGACGGAGAACTACTTGCTCTGAAGAGAATCTCCTGGCCTTCCGTCGAGAAGCAGCGCAACAACCGCGTCAAGAATAACGCCGGATCTAGCAAGCCCGGAGAGAAGAACAATCAAAGTGGACCTCCTCTCACAATCCGGTCGTCTGTCAAATTCCCAGACACGGCAGCTAAGAATGGCATCAAGGTCAAGGTCATCAGCGATTCGTATCCTGGCATGGAATGGGCTTTACCAACTGTGGAAGTGGATATGGGTCCTGAAAAACAAGTCGTGCCTGAGTCAGCCAATTACCCAGAGAAGAGTTGAATGATGTTCTATACATAGAAATAGAGATTTTAATAGGAATCTATGAAATAATTCAATTGGTTGATCTAAGCCAAAGTACATGAACAAATGGGAGTATATAAAATGCACGGAATGGACGAACCTAACCAAAGAAAATTTATAACACCTAATCATCGACCACTACTCCTGTCCTTTTAAAGATAATCCAAGCTCTCATGAGAAGAAATGCAAAAAAGATCCGGCTCTCGCTTTCGGCGCCGCCAAAAATGAAGAAGTCATGAAGTTAGAAAAGAAAGATTGAACGCGAGGCTGTGCTCAAAGGAATGAATGGAAACGCAAATCGCCGTCCATGACGCAACGAATATGCATAGTATAAGTCAAAAAAGGAAAGAAAAAGATCAAAACCCGTCAGTCGCAATGCTGCTTTTGAAGGCAATCAGAGAAAAATAGAAGAGAGTCGCGAAAATAGGAGAACAAAAGACCAAGCCAAGTCGCTCTCAGCACCAGATGCAACAGGATCTCAAATAAAGAGAGATAACACCAGCATGTATCAATCCCAAGCAACATCATACACTTTCGATACGAGCATCCTGAGAATTGCCATGTCGATGACCGTACTGCCCATTCACCATCTGGGGAGTTCTAGCCCTGGGAGTGAGGCGGTCAGGCCGCCGTCCCACCGGTACCAAGACTTGCTTTCTCTTTGAGACGGAGACGGATCTCGCGATGGAGATCTCGATGGTCGGGAGGGGATCAGCTGACTCCTGTTCTTGTTCCTCGTGATCCTGTTCGGTTTCTGACTCTGGCTCCTCGTCCGGGGTGGGGTCTGCGGGCTCATGCTCATGTGTCGTCTTGTCGTCTTCTTCGACTTTAGTTTCGTTAGCGAGCGGCATGCGGATGGTTTCTGCTGGTGAGACGGTAGATTTACAACTATCTGAGGGAGACAACGGAGAGAATCTTTGTTGAACGGCGGCAAGAGGCGATAGGATCGGAGACGATGCCGTCGACTCACTGTTCTCAGGCTCGGGCGATAGTTCCTGAGTGTTGAGCGAAAGCGATGGGGTCGATTTCTGCGGTTTTGTTTCGTCTGCAGATGGTTTTCGCTTGCAGATCATCTCCCATTCAGGCTCGCCTTTGGGGTCGACGTAGGTTTGGACTGGGTTGAGCTTTTGCAGAATGAACTTTTCGTCGTCTGAGTTGATGGTTGTGCTTGAAATGAACGAGTTTACTGAGCCTTGATGTTTGTGGGAGCTTATTGTGTCGCTGTGGACCATGAGGAGAATGTGATCTTGTTCATCGGACAAGTCTTCCTGGCGTGACTCGGCTCTGGATACTTGGTTTCGGAGTAGGGGACTGGGGCCACGTGGCAGGTTTTGTGTGCCTAGCACCTTAGCAGCTTTATTCTTCTGTGTTGCCGGAAATAGTGAGAGTCTGGGGGAGTTGGAGCGCGTTGGCGAGGTGGCCCTTCGTCGGGGCGGAAGCAAGTCTGGTGATGGGGGTGATGTCTGATGTGGGTTTAGTATTTTGTATGTGATGTATATCGGGGGAGATGTTGAATGATTTACCTCGGTATTGGGAGCGCTCATGTTTTCTAGGGTTCTGCTGCGTCTATTCAACGGGGAAGGTTCGTTTTTGTTGAGTAGAGCGCTGAACATCACGCTGTATCGTTCCATCTCAATACTTGGGATGTCGACCTGCAGTAGAGGTCCCGATTTCGATACCGCACACTGTTGTTTATCTTGAGCTGACACCTGTGCGACACTGGCATTTTGATGCTTCTCTTCGGCTTTGACCTCTGGCTCAAGACACGGCCATACCCCCGTGTCCATGACATGGTTGGATTTCGCCTCGCGAGTCTGATAATCAATGGAATGCGAAGAACCCTGCGCAAGAGGCGCCTGGCTACCCTGAACCTGGACCTGATAAAAAGGCTGACTCGCGCCCGACGCAACAGCATTCTTCGCCTTGAACAATCCGCCGATTTTCCTCCACTTGCTCGGCTTCCGCTGGATCTGCAAGGCTGCTTTGGGGCGTCCGCGCGCAGGCTCCAGCGCTTTCTCTTGCATCTGCGCAAAAGTGTTCTGTGGGTTCACCAAACGGGGACTACCTAGAGCGATCCCGATCATGTTTTCTTCCGAGCCATTTTCGCTGAGTGTCGGCGATTGTATTGCTTCAGCTGGGGGCACCGCTATCCCAAAATCGAATCCAGGCTCGGGTATTTCTACCTTCCTGTCCTGCTGGTGTCCGTCAGAGGTCCGGGGGCGCTGGGAGTCCCGACGAGCCTGCTGGATCGGCCGATGGTGCGTTGTGCTACCATTTTTCAGGGCCTTGAGGTCGTTTCGTGGTAATGCATCTGTATGCTTGAGGATGGGTTTGGAAATGTCTGGTTCCCGCGGGGCACGGGGTTTCCCCAGAAAAAGACCTCTGGCCATTTGCGCGATTTGCGGGTCAACGATGCTGAAATTTAGTGATAGTGGGAGCTGATGGATTCAGACAAAGACTTGAATTCAGATAAAAGCTAAACGAGTGATAGTGTGAAGGTAAGCTGACATGAGACTCTATCTCAGCATCGGAAACGAAGATAATAATAACAACAATAAAAGGAACGGACAGCCTTCCAGAAGGCCCGAAATGGTGAAACAGCACACGAGAAAAAGAAAGAGTCAGTCAGTCCATGATCAAAGGAAAAGGAGGGTTCAAGGATGACGAGGATTTGGACGCAGTGGAGATTGTCGCAGAGTTATGGATCGATCTAATCAGACACGGGCTGGCCAAGTGTCGCAATTTAATTTCCAGTAGATTGGACGAAGCGAGATCTTCTCAAACAAACCAACGAACGTCTCAGACCGACGCTGTGCCTGTTGATCAAGCGCCGGGGCGTTTGAGTCAAAACTGTCACAAAGAGGTCCCTCAGCCCCTCCATTGGACAACACATGGGAGGAACGTGGACGGTCTGGTCTTCATGGCCTTCATGGACTGGTAGCGGTGGATGGAGTCCCTCATTCCACCGTACCCTATCACGATGCTTATTTGAAAAGTTGCAAATGAGCGTTGATGCTGCGAAATTAAGGGAGGGCATCGTAAGTGACCCACCCAGGTGGCTTTTTACCCTAGATCAGTCTAGCGGGAGTTGTACGATTGGACCTTCATCTCCCGTACCCTAACTGCCAGATTAGCGTCAAAGCGTCGGCGGAGACTTTCCTTTGCGTTATAGCCTCACTGGGTATGGACTCCGTCATGCAAACAGTAATGAGTGGAAATCCCGATTCAAATTGTACACGGTAAAGATCTTTGGTTGAAGACACTGGGAAAGAAATGGGGAATGCTCACCAGTAACATGATTTTCATTATCGCCATACTGGTAGAAAGCAGATCAAAAGAGCTGTACAGGACAGCCAGCAGAGGCAAGAAAAAAGCAAAAACATTTGAGACGAGCCCAACCGACGACCTCCCGATCACCTGTTAGATGTTTATGGTGAAACTTCTCAGTAGGATACTGTGATATAGTCCTTCTTTCTTTTATAAGTGCTTTAGTCCTGCCACAAATCAGCAATTGCGGGGATAGCTCAGTTGGGAGAGCGTTAGACTGAAGTTTACTTCGATCAGATAGACCCATTTGGGTTATCTAAAGGTCGCCGGTTCGATCCCGGCTCACCGCAAATACTTTTGCATCTCAGATTTTTTGTGCATCATAGATCCCCTACCCTTAAAGCTTCAATTCAGGTTGATTATATCTGAAAATTGCTTTGCAAGTGCAAGCAGAAACAGGAATACAGATGCTCTCACGTAGAAAAAAAACACCAAATAGTGCACACCAAAGAGATAAGAGACTCGTACAATGTGCCCGATTGGCGCCTGTCCTGAGTTTGGTCCGGCGGCTATATTTTTCCTTTTTCCTCTTTCCATTTGCCACCTGCGGCTACGGCTTATATACCACCGTTAGTTCTACTAACACCCACTTACGCCATTTACTCTCTCGTAAGGGACGTTCCTTTTCCAGCCTGACTGCATTTGAGGGCTTAATCCTACAGTTTTGTAGGGTACGGTATATTGCTTTTTCTCCTTGCTTTTGCCTCTTATATCATTCTAGTCTATTACGCCTCTGCTGGCTCCAGTAGCTGTCGTATATAGCTCCAACTCGGTGGTCAGGAGCCTTTTGTCTGTGAAATTTCATTGTAAAGGAAGAAAAATTTTCAAATTTCCGCAATGGGCCCTTGTAGTCCGTACTACAGAATGGAACAACAATAACAAGCCCTTATAGCTCAGTCGTACGAGCGCGCCACTCGTAGCCTAAGGCATTCAGATTACATCTAGAGCCTAGGTCTTGAGGTATGGTGAGGTCCGCGGTTCAATCCCGCGTGAGGGCAGCCTTTTTTTCTTTTTCCAACTTACTACTTTTCAAGTTATTCCACGATACCCCTCAAATGTTGACAGTCCTAGTATTGTATCCTCAATCTTTAGAGGGTTGAAGGGAGGGACCATGGTTCGGCACCTTCTCTTCTAGTTACAGCTCCCTCACATGGCTTATCAATATCTCACCTCACACTCCCCACGGGGGCAACACATTACTTCAATGATTCACGATATGATTAGATCTAGGCAATTACATTTTTGCGTCGGAAACGATAAAGTATATAACAATAATTACTCGATCTTACTTGCCAATGGCAACGAACAATCTATCGCCGATATCACCTAAGCCAGGAACAATCATGCCTCGTTCATTGCATTTCTCGTCCACCGCCCCTGTCCAGAACTCGACTCCCTCAGGCCAAGAGTCTACAGCCCGACGAATGCCCGTCTCGGAGCCCAGTACACTGAGCATTACCACTCGCTTCACTCCCCACTCACGCAGAAGGTGAATCGCCGCTTCAGCCGTGGCACCTGTGGCGACGATGGGGTCAAGAAGAATAGCTGTGTCTGCGGCGGCGGTGTTGGAGTCAGAGCCATCCTGGCGTTGGTAGGGGAGGTTATTATAGTATTCGACGGGCTGAAGGGTGAACTTCTCGCGGAAGAGACCCAAATGGTAGATAGGGACCGGGCCTGGGAGCAGGCTGTTGATTGCTAAATTGTTGTGCATATGGTGAGAATTGGGACCCTTCAGAGCGAGTCGGACAACGTACCCTCAGTCATGCCCAATCCAGATCGAAGAATGGGTACCATGGCGACATTGGCGGGTTCAATATCTTGGGTATCATATTCGATACCTAACGGGGTTTGATCCTGGAAAGTGGATCAATCTCGTCGATCCGATACGATCAGGGATGATCAATCCTTACCGTACCCCGCTTTGTAGCTTTCAATACCGTTGAGAAGGCCTCCACACCTAGAATGGTCGTGATCTCATGGACAAGGCTCCTTGTTTCGCGAGTAGAAGTTTTATGGGACCGTAACTGGGATATCTTGGCTTGTAGGCACGGGTGAGATGAGATATGGACATTCGGGGGGAGAGACATCGTGGCTGAGGTAATTTGAAGTATCGTATGGTTCTAGAGGTCGTAGGAAAATAGAGAGATAAGAAAATGAAAGCTTGTGAGGGGGGAGAAAAGCAAGAAATATATACACATCAGAGAAGTGAGGGGTCGGGGTGTGTCGTGTCACCTGCTCAGGTACTGTACGGTATGTATGTACATGTACCTTGATGTCAGCGTCCCTTTCTTCTTCTCCGCTTAGATTTCCAAGTCTCTCTCTCTCTCTTGTCATTCCTTCTCTCCCTTCGAATTCCTGCCTTCTTTATCTCCACCTCTTTAGCCCCTCTCATTGTCGTTTATCGGGAACTGATAAGCTATCAACAATCACTTATCAGCTGTCTATCAACAACCAAATCATTGTTTATCCACTAAGATACCCACCATACTACCATGACCCACTCTCTCCGTCCAATCTTCACTCCTTCCGAACTGACTTTTCGCAGCTCCTCATTTTCCTTCCCAGCTCGACCTTTCGCTATAGAGATTATGTGAATCATATCGCGCATTGTCATTCGACATGCAATCCACAAGCCCCATACCTGCCAACGGCACCGAACAGCTGCCTGAAACCCAAGCGCCACCTCCCACTACCGAGGAAGCTTCGCAGCGCCAAGCCTGGCCATCCGAAGGATATGGGCTGCCTCCCACCAGTGACAAGCCTCCTTACGGCCCCGTTGAACCAACGCCCTCACGAAGGGAACCTGTCGCAAGACCCCTCTCCAAACATGCTACGCACCTTTTCACGCTTTCATACTTGGTATTCTTCGCCATTTTCGGCACTTTGGCGCGTCTTGGCCTCCAAGCCTTGACCATCTACCCGGGAGCGCCTGTGGTAACGGGCGTTCTCTGGGCCAACGTAGGAGGATCGCTACTAATGGGCTTCTTCCTCGAAGACAAGAACCTCTTCCGCGAAGAATGGGGTGACGTGAACCAAAACAACAGCAATGGCACGGGGATCGACCCAAGCGCCGAATCGAAACGCCACAAGTCTGTTAAAAAGACAATCCCATTGTACATCGGCCTAACAACCGGATTCTGCGGCTGCTTCACCTCCTTCTCGAGCTTCATCCGTGACATCTTCCTCGCGCTATCCAATGACCTGTCGGACCCCTCAACCCCCAATGGCGGATACAGCTTCATGGCCCTGGTAGCCGTCATCCTGACCACAGTCGCGCTCAGTCTCAGCGCGCTCATCTTCGGCGCCCATCTCGCCCTCGCTCTCGATCCCTTAGTCCCCTCCTTCCCCTTCCGCTTCACGCGCCGATTCATAGACCCCCTCTTCATCATCCTCGGCTGGGGATGCTGGCTGGGCGCCGTCTTCCTCGCAATATGGCCTCCAGATCGTCATGACAATGGACCAGAGTTCTGGCGTGGTCGCTCAGTGTTCGCGGTGGTTTTCGCGCCGCTTGGCTGCTTCCTGCGTTACTATGTTTCTCTAGTGCTGAATGCCCGACTCCCCGCCTTCCCGCTGGGTACGTTCGCTGTGAACATCTTCGGAACTATCATCCTTGCCATGTGCTATGACTTGCAGCATGTCGATGGTATCGGAGCCTCCTCGCTTGGCTCTGGAGCTAGTTCGTCAATTCTCACGAGCTGCCAGGTACTCGCCGGTGTTATGGATGGGTTCTGTGGTTCAGCAACCACGATTAGTACCTGGGTGGCTGAATTGAATGGGCTGAGTCGTCGGCGACATGCCTATTTCTACGGGATTGTCAGTATCGGGGTTGCGTTGGGATTTTTTGTAATCATTACGGGCTCCTTGAGGTGGACGAAGGGGTTCGTGGAGCCCGTTTGTAAGTGATATGCTAGACATATGTATTCTATAGCTTTTTAGAGATGTATAGGTAGATAAGAACTTATAATTAGTTAATGACATAACAAATGCTACAACAAGCTAATGTTACTGTTCCTATTGGCATATTGTTGGGCGTGTACTACTATTACTATTTACTGTGTGATAAAACAATTGAACTCCCCGCTCAAACAAATTGTATTTCGTGCTAGAGTTACTTATAGTACAGGGTACTACAACACAAAACCATGTGCAAGCAAACGAGAAATAATACCAAATAAACATTGTGAAGATAAAGATGAACAATGAACAATCTTCAAGAACGATATCAAGGCATGCAAAACAGTTGCGTCAAAACAAAACAAAAAACGTCAAAAAATATGAGGGGGGTGAGATAGAACGCAAACATTAACGGCGGGGACGGCATAGACACATAAACTCAGAACGATTCTAACTCACATACATTAAGGCAAAAGCTCAAAAGGAGGTAAAAATAGTAGACCAAAGTATATGAGAACGAGTGACTTGAAGAGAAGCTTTAAAGTGATAAGATGAATATATAACGGACAAGGTATCAAATGATCAGGGGACAAATCGACTGGCAAATTGACCAAACACGCTGATGCGTAGAAGAGAAGCACTAAGGATTAAGAGTGTAATGATGAGTATCAAGGAAACAACAACTCCACCGAGTGCTAAAGTGAAGAACACACAGGACCAGCCGGGTGTCGAGATGTTGCCTTGGGAAACTGCCCGTGAAAACAAGAAAATGACCACACCGGACTCCTGTGAGCTCTTGCAAAAACCAACAGGAATGACCATAAACGACGCAAGGAAAGACGTAACAAACGATTAAGCGATGAACAAACATCAGTCAGGAGACACCAGCAAGAAGCATTATGCGGCGGTTCAGTATCATAGCATTCCATAACCGGAAATCAAACTTCGCCGCCCACCTTCTTGCTCCTCCATCCCGACCCTAAAAATCCGAGATTCCGCCAGTGTCCAAATGCCCAGGAAACGAGAGGAAGAAAAAGTGAAAACGTTCAATGATGAATGGGACCCGAGTCAGAGCGAGAAACACCAGAAGTGCAACTCAGCCCCGAGGGCCAAAAAGAGCATAATAGCGATTTGAAAAATATTTGATTATAGTGTAGAACTCCGAAGCCGACGTACTCATCGCCTAGTACGCCGTGCCTACACTAGCAAGTGTCTTCGTTGGCATTGGGTGGATAGGTTGGTCCTTGCCGACGCGCAGAGAGTCTTCGTAGCCAACCAAGGCCTGCGAGTGAAGCTTGAACGATTCGCCCATAAGCTTGGTAATTCTGAAACGTTGTCAGTAACTTGATTTTACGATATTGCGGGTTAGAGATTGAAACTTACCCCCATACTACCACTCCGTCTAGGATGTTACCCCATACACGGGCCACAGTGGAGCTGAGTTTACCAAAGGCATCGACGGCGTCATCATCGAACAAATTCCGCACCTTGTTGTAGATGGCCATTTCAGCCTCAGTCGCTGGCTCCTCGTCATGTTCCAGGCGATAGAGCCAGAGACTCAAGATGACCATCAGATCCAAGCCACAGAGCGGATGCTCGACACTCCAGTTGGTGGCAGATGTCTTCGCAACCCAGTTAATTCCTTGGACGGCAGCAATTTCGATGCATTCGAAGCAGGACTGAATAACCTTGTTCATCTCCTGGGAGCGCTTCACCTTCTCACGAGCAACTGTCATAGCAGCGGCCACTTCATAGGACGAATGGTACCGCAAGGCCTCCTGGATCGACTTGAGGTCGACCTCTAACCGAGCGCGCGTGTTGCGATAAACAGCCATAGAGTTGAAGATCAGTGGATGGCCCTTCTGAGGAGTGCTAAGGGGCACCACGATCGTCTCCGGCTCACAAACCTCAAGAGAGTTCTCCCATGTTTCGAGTGCGAGACGGAGCTTGTATTCGGTCACAACATCTTGCAGAGCTTCGAAGCTACGCTTGTGGTTCCAGACCTGCAAGAACAGAGCGTTGATCAAGACACGAGTCGCAAAAGCGCTGTAACGAACTTGTTCACCTTGGAAGAGGCAGTCGTGGGCTTCACGCACTGTGAGGG